ATCCTGTTTTCCGTTTCCAAACTCCTATTTATTTTACCATCTGGCTATTTTCTTTAGCGCGTTTGATAAATGTTTAGTCATGAAGCTGATCACACTTTGCGATCATCTCTTGCTGAGTCAGTTAATAGTCGCAATCAGTTCATGCGAGTTCCACATCTCCAGGACTGTAAAGAGATACGGTCAACAGTAATAACGCTGAGATTATGTAGATTCTTTAACATGTAACAAACAGCCACCATAATTGATCTATTAATATGAGATCATTTGCACAATATGTGAAATATTCCACTGATATTTCGTGCAATTTCTGACCTTGTGCTCAACTCAATTAAAATACGGTACATGTAGGCAGCGTATAAGCGAATATCTACAACCATTTTTGCCTTTTACCAGTTCTTTAACATTCAAACGAACACAATGCCAAATACAAATAGCGTTCATCGAGAAGTGGATGAATGCATGAATACTCTGATTTCAGTTGATTATTACCGAATGTTACAATATCCATTTTCAGGCTGAATTCAATAAATTCAAGCAAATGTTGGAGCAAGGCAAAGCTCGAGCTGAGGCCGCACATCAAGCATCGTTGACTCGGCTGTCTCCAGCGGCCAAAGCTGCTGACGCTCGACTGAGCGCTATCGCCAGCAACAGGGCCCTCAAAGTTGGAGAGAAACAACGACAACTTGCCGCTGCCTTCCAAGGTATGTGTTTCAATGCTCATTGCCATCTTCATGATCTTTTTGAATGTTGCATCAAAATATAAATCAAAAAGTCTAGCAGAAGCAATGGAAGACTGGAATTTGAGATCCTAATCGAACATTTACAAATTGGGAGCCACAAAACTCAGATCCCTTGAAAACTTTCTGCCTTTTGGCTTGTGCGTTGATCTTCAGATCTCCAGAAAGAGATCCCTCTATCGTTTTTCTGACTGATATGTTTTGATCATAACAGGTTGCATAGAAAGCTGATAATCATTATCATAACCTCATGAGTCCAGTAGCAGCAGCAATATCATTGCTCATTTTTGCTCTCACTTAGCAGTGCTTTTGCTTCAGCTCTCAAACCTATCGAAATTGATAGAAAAAGAAGTAGAATTCTTTTGCGTCACTTTATGCATCAAGTAAAGGATAAGCAGTGAAAATTTTCGAAATATTGTAAAGTTTTTCCGAAAAATTAGAAAATTCAAGTAGAGCGATTCATTAAATCTTATTGCATTGCAGCACTTGACCCAGCTGTCAAAGCCGAGCTCCAGAAGGAAATGCAAGGCTAAACAACTCAACTCATCTTCTAAATTAGTTACGCTAGTCATTCTTGGCGTAGAACAACTGATCAAAAATTGTATCTACCATCCAATATCGTTATCATTTCTTATGTTCTTCATTCCACTAAACCCAACTACAGTTCTACGATCACCCTCTTTCCAGTGTGAAACATGAAGAATTGCATTATTCTCCGTGATGTTTATGCAAATATTGTCGATGTTTCATGAAATGTTCACCAACTCAACAACAACTTAACTTCTCAAACGTTCTCCTGATTAATCCGTACATCTACTCAAATGTTCATTTTTACTGACTAATAAATGCGTTTTCCATATTTCATTGCACAATGACAAACAATTGCCAACAAGGCGAATACAAACGCTCTGTGAATGATTAAGTCATTGGAGCGGTATCAAATGTACTAGATGTGATTCGTCAAAGAATTTCATTCCATAAAATGCAATCGAACTTATTTCATAAATTATTTCATTTAACAAATTATTCATAAATTATAGATATTCATAAATATCAAATTAATTCATATCAAGAAGATGACAGATTAGATGTCAGATATCCAATTCATAAAAAATTATTCGTAAAATTTCATAAATTATTCATATATTATTTCATAAATTATTTCGTCACCATATTTATCTCATAAAATGGAAACGATATCATTTGAATGTTAGTGTTAGAGCAACATGTTAAATGAATTAATAATATGAGCAATTTAAGACCATCAACACCACATGACTTAGCTGTGCGATGAATGTTATAGTTGATATAAATACCTATTATAAGGTTCACCATCAAGTGAAGGTAATTCCGTAATAAGTTCATCTAATCTGGAGCTCCAGTAATTTTGACAACTTCAGAACCTGTGCCCTATGCTTGGAAGAAACGCTATCATTTGAATGGCTAAGTGCCTAATTACTTCATATTGATGTGTACGTATATTGGTAAAATACTATGCTGGTGTTGGTACATGTTTCGTGGTCATTTTCGAAGCTGAACATCACCGATTTTTGGATGGAACGAGGGGAATTTCTACAAAATCACTGAACAAGTCTTTCACTGATACCGTATCTCATAACTTTCATAAGTGCATTATCGCGCTTAGTCTCGTAAAGTTTTCTGACATTCAGTAACAGATTCTACACGAGTGCCAGTCTAAACTGTCAAGAAGTGAGAACTCAATAAATATCCAGCGAGTATTGTAAAGGTTATAACCCAAAAAACCCCAGCTCCACACAGATGTTCAACTTGAATTATTTCTGATAATCTGTATAGATTTTCTGACGGTTGCATAAGATGCGAGCTAATCGAATGAAACTCGCACACTACAGTTTGAATATTTAAGGTGTATAAAATTATAAAATTTCCAAAAAATGCGACGTCTGGTACTTGAGTGTCACGTACGGTTAACATGTGTACAAACTGTCATGGGTACAATTGATGATCACTCGAAGAAATAATAATTTGTTTTAAAAAAATTACGTGATACTGTATAATTTCGTGACACTGTGTTTTTTTTAAATTACGTGACGCTGTATTGAACAGTTTGTATTTTTCGTGTGTGTTCAGTCAGAATACTTGAAAAATTACTTTGCATTCACTACCTGAGATGTCTCTAAAATTCGACATGAAAATATTACAGTGTCACAAATTAGTGTAATACTCATCAGATGCTCTTTCGTGGACATGTTCAATTGAAGTGGAACCATCATGCACACGGAACGTACTTTGACAATTACTCAGTTTTTCATTCTTGTGCCGTCGTTCGCTTCTTGTTCGAGACAAGAAACGAGAAAAGTTGCTGAACGATCTTAAAGTAATGTTCAACTCAGTCAACTGATGAATTCGTCGTGATTGCACCCAGTAATTAGTGGGGAAAGAGAAATCAACGCATCAAAGGAAACACTGAATTCGAGAAAGACGATGAACGAATATGCACTCGAAATTTTCAGATATATTCTAGATGGTATCAGCCCAATATGAAATCACAAAAAAAGTTCGCTGAACTGAAGTTATCTGATACCTATACCTATATACTTATTTTACCCATTAAAATGATAAATCTGATACCTATACCTATTTTTACCTATAAAAATGTGCTTGTTTCTGAATAATAAAGCAATGTTCATGCATATTTGAGTTTTAAAAAAACAACAGATGAGTTGATCGCTAAGAGATCAGCTGGAAATGGAAAGAAATCAGCCCAACTCTTAACTTAACTTAAGATTCTGTTGAAACACTTGATTCATTGCTACGGAAACAAATCAAATTTCAAAATCAGCTCATCATAAGTATTTACAATTGCTGTTTAGTTTCACTGCTCAAGAAACGCTCCGCTCATCATTCTGAATATTCCAATAATAAGACTTCAGATTTTGACGTTGTTCGGCTAGTTGCAAGACTTTACGTTAATATATCATGTTTGAATTTGTCAACATCAATAGTCATCCTCCTAACTTTCATAACAACCCGATTAATTGATTCTATTCATATCGTTGCTCATCAGTGAGATGTTCGTTCACATTAGTGCCTTATAAATTGCCTTATTGTGACGTGCCTTAGAAATTTGTTTTTTGACTGTTGTTGTCATTGCATTTCAGGTTTCTATTTTTTGCAGAATTTGTTTCAATCTCATAAATATATAGATGAGGCATCATTCATGAAAGNTTGCCTTATTGTGACGTGCCTTAGAAATTTGTTTTTTGACTGTTGTTGTCATTGCATTTCAGGTTTCTATTTTTTGCAGAATTTGTTTCAATCTCTTAAATATATATTATATGAGGCATCCTTCATGAAAGATGTTATTGAAAGAGTGACGTTACTTAACCAGTTGTTCCACTTTGAAATTTGACAAACTTCAGCATGAAAGGTTCGACTGAATGTAAACAAACTGTGTAACTGACTATCTTGTTTTCGTGCTAATCCTCAGCGATGATCATTATTCTTCCAATTGATCGTATCAAATCATCAAACATATTAGAAAATCAGGTTTATGACTGGTCAGAAAGTCTTCGAATCGAAGCAATTTCTCACTCGATTCATTCCAATTTCCATACGAAAAACTAAGTGACCATACCATACCGTGCATCATGTTGAAATAAAATGGAATAAAATCCCATCGAAAAAATTTCAAATTAGTACAACAAGTTGAAGTGGGACATGCGATAAAGTGAAAAAATCCTCATTGAGATCATCCGTGATTGACATCTCTGAAATACGTTAAATGCTCTGATTATGCCTCCGAACAAGTTAAACTCATGAACAAGATCTGAGTGACCAATCTGGTTAGGGCTCATGTGATTCGCTCATAATTCCCACTTTACTAATCTCCAACTGTTTATATGACAAGTCTATTGTTTCAAGCCAGTGATATGACTCAAATACGTATGCTATTCATATTCCAAAACGTCGGCTGCTGATTAACCGAGTACTTCAACGTGGTTGTTTTTAACATATCACTAATAATACGAATAATCGAAAAAGCTTCAAACGCTTATGAAATTAACAAATTCGTTTGTCAAATTTGATTCATTCAACAGCAACAAATCCAAATATCTTTACTGTAATACATTCGATTTGAAGAGTGTAAAAGTGAAAGTGAAATTAATACGATTGGTTTCAGCCGATGAATTTTGAATTGCTCAATTCGGATTGTAAGACGATGCGCTCAGTCAACAAAAGTTACCAATTCATTCGTCAAAATCATTTTCATCGTTTCGCTCCAAACATTTTGCTGTGTTTTTTGGCAATCGTAAAATTGTGTGCGAACGAGCAATTTGAAAATCTAGTTTTGCTTCATGCGAACTGCTCAAAAAAAAATTTTTTTTCATTTTGTAAGACTCAAAATCAAATGTTAATATCCGTCTTGGATCATGCCACATACCATATGGATACCATAGTGCATTCATGGGTTGACGACGTTCTTTTGCGTGCAGGATGTCTGCGGCGGTGACACAAGCAAACATTTTGACAATAATATATTGCACCGAAACTTCAACTGAATGAATTTCTCGCCATCTTGGGAATTTCTTTGGCAATTCAATAGCTTTGGCTAGTGTCTAGCGAGGATCGGGGTCTTTCACCAAAACAACAATTCAGAAGTATGATAAAAGTAAAAATAGAAATAACTGAACCTAAAGGCAACTTCTCAGTATAGCTAGAAACAGTCACCAGAACCCCTAAACACTTCTTTTCCAAAACACTGACCACCATGCTTTCTTTAAAACAAAAATGAATCTGATCAGCATAAATAGACATAAAAACATCTAAAAATTACTCAGTTCAAATAATACTACAATAACTAACCCAAAATTAAAGAAACAGGTGAAAGTTTAAATCAGATTTTTTTAAAAACCCCCATTTCCGATTCCCCGTTCCCGACTTTTTTCCCAGCCGACTGCATTTTCGGGATCGCTGACTGCAAAATTTCATCCCCGAGTTTCTCCGTCCCCGAGACTTTTTTCCATCTCCGCAGCACATTAACTGCAGTACACCACTGTATACCATTTAATATTGCAGTTGAACAATGTAAAATCGGAAACAGTCAGAAGACAGAAACAAACGAAACTGTCACCAAACTAATCCAAGTTTTCAAATTGATCAGCGAAAAATTTTTCGAAAAATTTCGAAATTTTCGCCACAGGTAGCTACCTGTGCATTTCTTCGGAATCACCTTCGAACGTGAACCTGTGTTTTTAGCAGCTAGACGTGAAGGGAGGACCTAGTAGTATAAGCAGTTGAAAGGACACTTCTCGATATCTAGCCTAAACCATGTTATTTCTGTAAATGAACTGCTGATGGAATTGATGAAAATTTCGATAGGACACTCGGAAATTCCCTCTTAGTGCGAAAATTTTGCTCTCGGATTGCCATTCTGATTTCTTATCGATGAGTCAAGAGCAGAGTTTCAAGAGTATGACACATTTGCGAAGATGACGTCTTAGAATATCAATTATGAATCTTCTTCCAATAGATCATCAATGCATGTTACTGTTGACATCATAGGAACGTAGTGTGTTTTGAAATTATATGAGGGCTCCATTATGCCCACTTCAGCGAACTCACTCAGTACTATAACAGCAAAAGTGAATTCAACAACAAATTCAAAACGCCAATCATCATTTGTGATTTTTCCTCCGAAACTGTTCAATTGAGCTGTCACGTCATGCCGCTAGAAGAAAATTCAGGAAACCTTT